CCTTCACTCCTGTTATAATAGACATAAAATCTCTTTTTATCCCTCGCTTAAATTTCAGTATTAAAACATTTTATTTAATTTTTTTTAATGTTTTCCCTCAAATTACCACAGTTCACTTTTTTCCCCTCACTCCTGCCCACAACAACGTGCATTTTACCTGCTCCTGCTGTAATTGCAGTGGGTCCTGCGGGATCCCAGTCCTGCTGCAGGACTCTAGTCTAGAGCCATAATAGGTCACATCCTGAAGTAGTTAGCCTTTCCTCTGAATTTTTGCTCCCTGTGGGCTGTAGTCAGAGCTTGAACATTATTAAAACATAGCTTGAGCAGCTGTTTTATCTCATCAGTTGTAGTAAAACTTACAACTGACTATTCAGAGCATGTGGGAAGGGTTTAGTACCATAGAGTTTAGAAAAGGTCCATATGTTTCCATATTGACCTCCTTCCTCTGTTTGGTTTTTTGTGTGTAGCAGTCATGAATAGCAATTTAAATATGGTGGTTCTTCCCAGGCAATGTTCTAACATCTTAGACGTGGGGCAAACCAAGGAGGTGGGTATTGGATCTTCTGATGTGAACACATGCTCTTAACACAGGTTTTGATACATTGCATCCTAAGTAGATTTGGATAAGCCACGATCTGAAGGTAGAGGCAGTGATCATAAAAAGGACTATGCATTCTTTGGGGCTATTTTTAGTTGTTTGAGTCTGGCAGCTCTCCCATCCTCTATTTTGGTATTTGGAATTCTAGTTTAATGGTAAACTTTCTTTACCCCACTCTCTCTAAGAATTACTAAAACATTCAGAGTAAGCCAGCAGTGAAGCCACTAAGTGATCCCCTGCTGTAAATCAAGAGAAGATGGAGACGACCTGAAACTTGACAGCAGACCCCTTCATCAGTTACAGTGCTAAATTGAGACTAGTGCAGGGTTTGCTCTGTCAAGTGTAGTGACAGCTGTTACTGAAGTAGCATAAATATCTAGTATAACAGAAGGTGATATCATCTCATCCTTTACAAGCCAGATATCCTGGAGTCCACTTACATGCGTTTCGATTCTAATGAAGCCTTTATTAGGAAATGTCAGTACAAGACTGTGAATTCCAGGCTTCATACTGTACAGCTATGGCATTGAAAAATCCATTTAAAAAAATTACAGGGGAGGTGCATGCTGCCCCCTCACTGCCTGGGCTCAGAGAAGAGTCTGCCCCAGAGTCCTACTGCCACCACCCCCATATAGGCTCTTAAGCACATCATGTCTATGCACAAGGTCACTGGGGTTTGCTAGTGCTTATTTTAAAATGGAAAAAACAAATTATTTCAGAACCAGCAAATTTTGCACACTGTGGCCTAGGAAACTGCACAGTCTGACTACGGTCACCCTCATTTTTCCATCCTACCTTGTAAGTACAGTACATTCACTGAGTATTCTCTCGGATAGTAAGCTCTGCAGGGCAGGGTTGTCTTACATGCACATGTGGATTCTTTTGTAATCTACTTATGTAGATACTCCTTCACTACAGTCTCATTAAATAAACTCCCCTCTGCTGTTTTCTCTCCCTCCCCACCCACCCAAGCTTTCCTCCCCTCTCCCTTTAGCCCCCAGTGGGCGGAAAGAGGGAACCTATTGCCGTCTAGCTTCTCTGCAGACTCCGATTCCTGCAGAATAACAGCCTGGCAGGAGGTGTGTTTGATGAACTGGGGTTTGTGGGTAGACACAGAAAACTAGTTAGTCCAGACCACACTAAATAGGCATCAGCAGCAGGCTGGCATATAGAAGGGCAGAAGCCTTCCCTGCCATTGCAGGGAGGACATTGCCAAGAAGGAAAACTGGTGGAGCATATACCTCCTCGCTGCAGTGAATTGCACCTGTCTTTAAATACTCACACAGAAGAATGATTCAGGAAAATGTTATCTGTGGAGCATGTTCGGTGTGATAAGGTCTGAGGCTGCTTAGTGGTGCCGGAGCATGTCTAGTGGAAACAATGTTTTAGCAGCAAGCTCTTAATGCAGTCTGCAAATGGCACTGGAGCTTCCTCTTACAACATTTTCCCCCCTTTTTTGATGGTGATTTAAAAGTGTGTTTTAAATAACTTACATATAGGGGTCACAATGGCTCTCTGTCTAGATATGTTGATAGTAATTAAACATCAGAATCTACAGTAAGCCCCATAATAAAAGCAGGGTTCAAGGAAAACTGTTTTAAGTAGATCAAAGATGTAAATAAGACTATAGAAGTCTCTTAAAATAACACTAATTCAGATCAGGTTTCTGCCTGAATTACTTAAGGTCTGTCTATACTCCAGAGACTATAGGGGCATAGCTCTGTTGGAAAGGGGTTTTTACATTGGTGTAGGGATTTTGTCCCCAAATGACCATAATTAGGTCGATGGAAGCATTCTTCTATTGACATCGCTGTGTCTACGCTGGCAGTTAGGTCATCATAGCTACGTCAGTCGCATGTAGATTTTACACACTCCTGATTTAGGTTTGTTGATCTAAAGTGTGGACCGGGCCTTAAATGAAGTTAATGCATCTGTAGTTATCAGATTTTTCACTTTGGCTTTCTGGAGTTCCATGGGAACAAACTTTCATAGATGTGCAGGTGTTCAGTCACAACTGCAACTAATGTCAATAGGAGCTGCATGGGAAAGTCATTTTCCTTGCTTTGAAAAACTAAGTAACATTGGAGGCTTGAGACTGATTGTTACATGTTTGCCCTAAATTTCAGCATCTCTAAAATGTCTTGTAGAGAAACATAGCTTAATCCCAGGTTTTTCTTCCATTTTGCTCATTGATTCCTTGTGTCATTGTTAGAAATAGTATGAACAGACATGACACTGTTTCTAGTTTAAGGATTCTTATGAACACTAAATGGTGTAATCTTAATTTTCTGATAACATTTGCGGTTTTTAAGGTTGTCTTTTTTCTCTACAGTCGTCGAGATGATATGGAGTCTTTAGGCTATGTATTGATGTATTTTAACAGAACCAGCCTGCCTTGGCAAGGATTAAAGGTAGGCCATGCAGTCTGCAGTCTTACTGTAGATTCTAAACATTTAAGAGCTGGGAATGGATGCTTTTGACTACTAGCCTGCATAAAATGATCTGTGCAGTTCTAACTCAGAGCTCTTTTCCAAGTTTAGTTTTACTGGATGTGACAGGAGAAAGCCTCTGCTTTTTCTCATGCTGTATACAGAATGTGTGTATTGTTTCACTTCTAAATTTATTCTAAACAATGGCTTACATCAGCCTTGCAAAAGTACTCTTCCTATCCAAGGGTGAGGTCATTTTGGAAAGGGAGACTTAAGATATTAAAGGTTATTTTAGTATTCTCAATAACTATGCAGGATATGAAAGTATAACTTTAAAAAGAAAATTTAAGTCTAGTTTGTGGGTTAGGTAGGTGAATTGCTATCTTAATTGAAACATACACTAAGCTTAACACAGGTGTGCATTTGCATTACCCTGTGTCAGAACATGGGGTCATCATGTAAAAGCATGGTCAATTTGTGATTGAATAGTGTAGACTTATTCTTTCCTGTATTTTAAGTTTTCTTTCCCATATGGGAATTGTGCTATTCAGGGCATGTTACAGCTGCACAACCTGTAAGGTTTTTAAACCGGCAATCTGCTTGTGAAATACTAGAACTTTTCAGCTGCAATCTAATGTAATGGTTGCTCACTAAAAAGCACAGGCAGCAGTTGAAGGGAGTTCAGGAATTGGAATTAATGGAACTTTTGCAAATGGATATTCAAGTAGGATCTGAGTGGACAAAAGCAGCAGCTAGAAAGACACGAGTTGTGCCATGTGATGGAAGCCTTAGACTGCAATAAATGGTATTAAACTGTGTCCAAATCTTAATGCCAGATTGACCTTCATTCCCTCTGCAATAAGTATGTGGGACTTGGAGATTTCACATTTAAAAAAGAAAAAACACTTCTGGTTGACAAAGGGCTTTCTCTGTCAGTTTGATTTTTATTTTTTGCTACTGTCCTTGTTAATCCAGTGTTGCACAACATCTTTTTATATTGTGACCCACATGTTCCACAGGCTGCAACAAAGAAGCAAAAGTATGAAAAGATTAGTGAAAAGAAGATGTCCACTCCTGTTGAGGTTTTGTGTAAGGTAAGAGTAAATAGAAATAACTTTTTCACCACACGACATCCTTCCTTAGAAACTCAAAGGACATGTCCAGTGTGTTGGACACACTGTCAAAGCACTTTAAATAAACTGCATTCTCTACTCACTTGAATTCTCCTGCTAGCCATTCCTCCTTGAACAGCAGGTGCAGCTGGCAATCTAACAAGAACCTTAATTTGCAAATATAAATAAGGCAGGCATAGCCTCGGTTTGGGGGGTCTGAACAATATAAATCTTCACCTTTGCCAATTCTGCTTGCTCTTACCATGTAAACACTCGGCCAGGTTTAGTGGGTTGAGTGTCATCCACATTCTTCTCAAAGTATTTCATTGAGGTACAAATAGAACCCTCGCATCACAGGAAAGATTAGATGAGATGGAGCTACAGAGCTCCTCCAGTGCTGTGCGGGAAGACTCAGCAACCCATGTTTCCTAATAGTCTCCTATACCTGTTGAATAGAAGAAGCAATAGAATGGACCCTGTGGAATCCCACTTGAGAGGCCTGTCTGCAGAAAAACAATTGTCCAATACTGTCACCTCGGATTTCAAAGGACTGGCTCACTGTACCCTCTCTGGGGCTGCAGATGTCAGCACCTCATGGCATCAAAGGCATGGGCATAGATGCCTGCTTTTTACCCATCTCCAGGATAGATTATTTTGTTGGTTAGGTGTCCTCCAAGAGTCCCTTGCGTCTAACTCTGCAATCCTGCAAATCCACCATATAGTGAATGTAGGAAATGTAGTTCTACTTCTTACAGATGACAGATTTTAGAAGTAGCTGTCACTGAATTTTCCCTTCTCTTGCTTTTTCTCTTACAATACTAGAGCATTCGTTTATGCAAATAACTATTTTATCCTTAAGAATAGGGTGTTTAAGCAGCACTTATTACACAAAAATTCACATCATGATGCCAGTTCTCAAAGTAGGAAACTTTTCATGATTAAGTCCCAAGGAGCATTAAGCAGTAGCTTCTGTTTTTACTTATAATACCCCAAAATAGCCAGTATGAGTAACTTTGAGTTTTCTGAAGAACTATAACCCCTTCTGTTGGGGCAAAGGATTTTTAAGAACTAAGCATAATTAGAATAAAAGGGGAAGGGTATAAAAGAATAAAGCATTTGGTATATTTTTCAGTTTTAATTAGGTGCCATTGTTTGTAGATATACCTTTATTATGTTACAGGCATCATATTAAGGTCCTGTGAATTAAGACAGGAAAAGGAATATATTGTTGGGTGTCTGGTAATTGGATGAGCATCCCGAGCAAAATGGGACCAAAACAGAGACTTAAATTCTTGCCTTCTCCTAAGACCCAAATCCATTTTTTAACTCTGCCTTTAAACATTGGCTATGGCTTTTTGATTTCTGAATCCTTACAAATGGCTCCTCATGGCGGGTCATAGTTTGACTAATGCTGTTGCTTACAGGGATTTCCTGCAGAATTTGCCATGTACCTGAACTACTGTCGTGGCCTGCGCTTTGAAGAGGCACCTGATTACATGTATCTGAGGCAATTATTCCGTATTCTTTTCAGGTCAGTCTCAAAATGTTGCATAATGATTTAGAAATCTAATTGTGTCAGCACTCAAATGAAAAATTACTGCTTCATGAATCTTATTTAGAGCTAGGTTTGGTTTTTTATTTTTTTTAAAACAACTCCTGGAATACGGAGACTTCTAAGTTTACTTCAAGAAATCATTTAAAATTAGAAACCGAGTGCAAACTACAACTTTAGAAAACCAGGAAATGTGGCACAACATGAAACTGGCTGTGAAGGAAGAGGATCTTTTCTATTTGATCTGTTCCGCCCTGGCGATTACCTAGATCAGTGACTTTGATCCCTCTTCATCCTCAACCCACAAAATGTCTGAAATTGTCCCACATCTCACCATCACCAGCAACTCTCGGTGGCAAGAGGATTATGGGATTTGGATCACAAGAAGAACCAATGGGAGGCTTTTGGGTGCTGTGGGGATTGGGGCTACATCTAGATCTGCTGGTGGTGTCCTGGAAGTTTATTTGAGGGGAGGGAATGGTGTTTTAAAACCCATTAATGCTTTTTACACTGTAAAGAAGCAAACAAGAACATAAGACCAACTGTTTTCTCTGTAAATTGCCTTTTAATAATGGAAGTTGTTGTTGACCCTCTGTAATCTGAGCCCTTTGGGATCTTGCAAATCATCCTACACTGAAGAGTTATGAATTTATAGCACCACAAATCTTTCCTATAATACAATATAAAGAAAGAATCCTAGAATATCAGGGTTGGAAGGGACCTCAGGAGGTCATCTAATCCAACCCCCTGTTCAGAGCAGGACCAATCCCCAACTAAATCATCCCAGCCAGGGCTTTGTCAAGCCTGACCTTAAAAGCCTCTAAGGAAGGAGATTCCACCACCTCCCTAGGTAACCCATTCCAGTGCTTCACCACCCTCCTAGTGAAAAATTTTTCCCTAATATCCAACCTAAATCTCCCCCACTGCAACTTGAGACCATTACTCCTTGTTCTGTCATCTGGCACCACTGAGAACAGACCCATGATGTTGGGTCATCATGACTTCAGTGTAGGCAGAAGGAGAAGCTGGGCTATGCAGAAGTACTTATCTGTGTGAACGAGGGAAGCAGACATTACCAAATGGCTTTCAAGCTTACTCCAAGGATTCCTTTCAATTATTAATATTTAGCATTTGTACACTGCTCTTAATAGTTTTTGTAAAGTGCTTTGAAGATTAATGTCTAGCTTCATTTCTGAACCTACTGGCTTGAAATTCACAGTAAGGTAGTCATGTGTTGCAGTAAGTGTTTCCCTGTCTTCTAGGACCCTGAACCACCAATATGACTACACATTCGACTGGACAATGTTAAAGCAGAAAGCAGCACAGCAAGCCGCCTCTTCCAGTGGGCAGGGGCAGCAGGCCCAAACCCCCACAGGCAAGCAAACTGACAAATCCAAGAGTAACATGAAAGGTTAGTAGCCAAGAACCAAGTGACGTTACAGGAAAAAAATTAAACACTAAATTGGATAATGCCAGTGATTTAAGTGTTAGATCAAGGAGGTGGTTTAAAAACACACATTTGGCTGTTTGTTTAAAAAAAAAATAAAGAAGACGTCCTTGGAGAATTTGACTACTAACTTTAAACCAAAATGTCCTTGTTCTTCATATCATTTCTTTTGGGGATGTTGGGTCATTTTAACCACTGCATCTTTTGCTCCCGCATTAACCCCTTTTCCAAAACAAGAAACTGACTTGGTGTTGGGAATGTGATAAATGATACAATCCAAAATCCTAGACCTAACACTTTTAAGGGATAGTTCTCATTAACTAGGGCCAGTACCTGGAGACTTTGGGTTCTGCTCTGTTCCAGCTATAGGAGTGCTATGGGTTTTTCTCCGCTCTGCATCTGTTCAGCAGTGAAAATGGAAAACTGTGAATGATATGGTTTCATCAGTTGTGTTCCTCTAATGTTAATATGTCCAGCATTCAGCCTCACTTGGCCCAAAGTCCAGGGAAAGGACCAATAAGCCTGGAATGTCTTGCTCAAATTCAGGTATAATCTTGAACTGCTGTTGTACTTCAAGGTTTTATCCCAGAAAGTCACAATTTTCCATCTTTTCATTTCAAAGTGGCTGGACGTTCTTGGTTTTCAGACTTCTTGGTATAAAACATAAGTTTTTAGATGATGGTTTTGTGGGGAAATGTTGTGAAATGTTCAGATGCAATTGCTTTCCAAAACTTTTTTGAGACTAAACATGCTTCAGTTTGAACACTGTTGAATTCTGCTGGAAAAGCCCTAAGGACTACTTTGAATATGTTTTCTTGCTGCTTTTAAAACTCAGCTCTTTGAGCAAGGAAATGATTTCAATCTTACCTTCACAATGCATGTGCTGTATTAGATTATATTCCATTGATGCAGTAACAGTTACTACTATAGCAGGTCCTTGTGCCAAGCATGGCTGAAACAAAAGAGAAACCTTGGATAATCCTTGGTTAGAATTTAACCTGCAGTGAATCTAGGTGTGACAGTCAGTAAGCTAACAGGTTAAGTTTAAGACTAATAATGCAGGGAAGTGCTGTGAAAGCCACTGCACAATTCTGACTTCCGGCGTTCTCTTACTGGTAGACCAAGAGTGCTACACTTAGCAGGCGGGTAAATTGAAGGCCTACTTAACCACTGTCAAGTATTCCAGCAAGAATGGCCTGATGTAGCTGGCAGCCTACCTTTTTAATTGCATCAACCATGATGCCAACTTGAACATACTGGTTGCTTACTCTGTTACATGCTAATGCCATCTGTTGGGAAAAGGTGAAAGTTGAGCATCTTGGCTGGTTAGAACGTTATAGAACAAATATTGTGTGTGGGTGTGTATGTATATATGTGTGGGGGTGTGGGGATGGGTGGGTGGGTGTGTGTGTACATACACACACCCACACACATATACATACACATGTAAATAAACCCCCACTATTCCCCTCTCAACAAAAATCTCCTTTATAATGCTCACACAGTTAACCCCAGCCAAACATTGCCGATAATCTGAAAAGTCCTGTGCTAATGAGGGGGTTCTGACATCACATCTCACTAAAGGCCTCTCCCTTTCTGCTGTGTTTCTCTTGCTGCTGCTGCTTATGAATCCATTGTGTTTGCTGCAGAGAGGAAGAGCTCCCTCTCCCTTTCATGTGATCTGGAAATCTGTAAAGGTCCTGGGAGGGAGAGGGCAGCATGCCCAAAAATGTTTTGATTCGCTGGAATCTTCTGGAGCAGCAGCAGATAGAAACAGACTAGATTGGCTACTGGTTGGTTGAAATACAAGAGATACTTCATAATCTGGAGAGCATTCCAGAAGTAGAGACACATTAACAGTGACATAAATTATGCAGAATTGGGGAAACCCGAATCATTTGTATGGAAACTTTTTTACTAGACATGAACATGGAAAAACGGTTAAAGCTAAGTGCAAGTTCTGTTCTCCTGAGTATGACATGTAGATAGAATGGAGAAACACTTTGATGAATTCTTATGATGTGTCCAGCTACTAGCAAAGATTATTGCAGTCAAACAGCAAGATAGGGAAAGTTGGTCTGCATCAAAATTTTTCTTCTGTGCACTCCAACTTTGTCTTTGGCAGCATCATGAAGCATGCTGGGATTTTCTGTTAAGACAGTGATATTAGTGAAAGTGAAGCTAATTCCACTTCATCTTCTGATAAGAATTTTGATACTCCACCTGCTTCTGCATTGAAAACTCCTTCTTCTGGAAAGTATTCAGATGTTCATAATTTAAATTGTTTTTAAGAGGTTTTTGGATAGAATGTGCCATGATCAGAAAAAACCTAACTTGACTATATTTGGTAGAGGTATTTATGCCAGCAATATAGCATTTCATACTATCAAAAATCCTCGTATGCTAGAATTTTTTCATAAGTTGCATCCTATTTATGAAGTACCAAGTAGGATACAGTTTATAGGAAGTCTTCTGAGTGCCAAAGCAGACGATCTGAAAAAGAATAGGTGTATTTATTGTGCAAGTTCCTCACTTGTCTCTAGTATTTGATGGATGGAGTTATAGTCACGGAATGCTCCTTCAACTTCATGATAACTCCACAGTGCTTTACTCGTTTCAGTACACAACTGAGAATCACCACACAGCCCAATATATTGTTGACCAGTGTAATAATGTAATCAATGAATTGGCTCCAGGGAAGATTATTTTGGTTGTGACCAACAACATGGCTAATATGAAAGCTGCTTGGGCTTTAATAAATACGTGTCCTTTCTTTGTCGTTTGTGCTGTCCATATGAGGCAGCTTTTCATTGGTGAGATCTGACAACTTTCTCATCACATGGCAAAAGTGAAAAGCATTATCAAGTTTTTGAAAAACCAGCCATTCTTCAACGTTATTGAGTACAGGATTCAGTATCCTCCACACTGAGTAAGCATTGTCATACACAATGGGCATCTTCTATTAAATGTTTCAAAGATCTTCAAATATGCAAGAAGGTCATTCAATAAACAGCTGTTGGAAAAAGGGGTGACCAAGTGCTGCCCCCAAGTACTCCGCACTGACAGTCTCAATGTCTTGAACATAAAGCTCAAAGTTCATTTCACTGCTTGTACCGCATAGCTCAGTCCATTCAGACTATGGAAAATTATAGTTCAACATTTGTCTGATGCCAAGAATGAGTTGCTGATCGATAAATTTTCTGAGAATACTGAACACAATCCATGTACAAAAGCTGAAGAGGAAAGATAATAGACAAAACAGTATCATGGAAAACCAAGTGATCACTCCTGCACGTAATGCTGCTGATCTTCTTGATCCACATTTCTAGAGCCAAGAACTTTGTGGTGACACATTCAATTCAGCTTGTGACCTCTTAGTAACTGTTGCAAATTTTAAAGCATATACAGATGTGCAAACAATTCTGATGGAGGTGGCAAATTATAAAGTAAGAGGTAGCCTGTTCAGTCACAAAACAATATGGTGTGCAGTCCCAGCAGGGAATGAAGAGCTTGCTCCTTAATCACGGTGGAAAGGGTTGTGTCCTCCTTGCACTCTAGCTACAGTGGCAGAAGTGATTCCCTGTACGACTGCATGTGCAGAACAAAATTTGTGAGTTTGGGGAATCCTCATCCATTCAGAAACCAGAAATAAACTGAAGCCCGTCAGTGCTGGGAAGCTCGTGACCATGTGTCACAATTTAATATTAGAGAAGAAAATGGCAGATTAAGAGCTGACTCCGTATTCGTTGGATGAAGAGGAAGGAGATACTGATGAATTTGGTGGCAGAAATAGATGAAGTAGTTGAAGCTGAAGAAAAAGATAATGAAAAGCAAGATGCTTGAAGAGTTGGCCTGCTACCTACCTAGCATAAGTGCATTTAAAAATGACTTTTCTTTTACATATGCTAGGTGTTTGTTCTGTTTAATTTTTCTTTTGTGACTGTTCAGTCTTGCATTGTTGTATGCAGTGTTGTTGCCCTGTTGGTCCCAAGATATTAGAGGGACAAAGGTGAGTGACGTAATATCTATTATTGGACCAACTTCTGTTGGTGAGAGACAAGCTTACACAGATGTTTTCTTGCATAACATTCACATTGCTAAAAAGTGAAATAACTTTCCTCTTATAATTAGACACAAGTGTCTAAAGCTAAGCCTATTGGAGACCATAAAGTGTTACCTTTTTGTTGTTGTTACTATTCTGATAAATTAGTGCTTTAGTGGTTTTCCATATTTGACATTTTTGAATAATGTTTGACCAAGTCAATTGGCCAATTATTTTGGACTAATCAAATTCACAACCCTAACTGCAAGTTGATGCAGATTCTTAAAGCTTGATTTGCAAGTTTAATCTTCACTGAGGGAAATAATCTTTGACCGTTACTCATGTCACTTGTTTCAGTTAACAGCTGCAAAAGAACTGTTCTGTGATTCTCCTTGCTAAATGGTGAATACAAATAATTTTTTTGAAAAAAATACAAAAATAGGATTTTTAGATTTTTAAATTTTAAAAAAATCTCTTTAAAAATAAACCTGTTTAAAATGAAGTTTGAATTTACTACAAAATATGTTAAGGGCTTAAGCTTGCTGTAATCTCTTAAAACACTTAAATAAAAAAATACATATGCTGAATCCATGAGCCTCTTTCAAAAACTTTGAGCTAAAGGATGCTTTTCTGTGTAAAACGTTTCCCCCGATTCTAATTTTTGAAGTGAAGCTTTATAAATGACACAATAGGTCATGTACTGTAATAGCCTGATCCTCTGGTGGACTGTACTGCTTGGTGCAAGAGACTGGCAAAGTCATCATAAGTGTTGGACCAGGCCTCTTAACTTCAGGAGATATGCATCTCATCAGGATCATCCACTGAGCCCACCTGGAGGTCTCCTACTCCTGTTTTATAGCTTGGATTGCTAATTCTTTTGTTTTTCTGGGGCTGGGTAAAGGAGTTTTGTAACAAGGGAGAAGAAGCAGAAGGGTGCAGTGCTGGAGTGAAAACAGGACACTGGGAAGAAGGGATAACATTCTTCAGAGTGCAGTCTCTAGCGTAGTATTTCTCCAATGCGGCCACTGTGGCTGCATGCAGCTACCAGGGGCTTCCTTGCGGCCACCATCTCCTGGGCCATGACGGGGATGGGAAGGAGTGGCGAAGTAGCGGCCCCTCCCTGTTGCTCCTGGATGCACCGCCTTGGTATTGGTTGCAGGGCTGCCAGTAGGGCTTGGATCCTGCCCCTTTCTGGAGACACATGGGGCACAACGCTGGAGGAGCAGGCAGCCAGTGAGTTACCCACCTTCCTGGGGCAGTGGGGCTCAGGCTTTGGGCTTCAGCCCTGGGGAGGCGAGGCATAAGGCTCTGGCCTTGTTTTTGGCTCCGGCCCTGGGCTCCGGTGGTGCAGCAGCAGGCCCCAGGCTCCAGCCGCATGGCTTTGGGCTCCAGCCCCAGACCCGATCCCCCTGTCCATTTCGGTATCTGGACACAAGGCTTCAGGCTGCAGCCTACAAGTATTTTAGGAAAAAAATATGAGCAGCCACCAGCAAGAATTGGTGGCCGCACTGTGAGGCCACCAAAACATTTGTCCTGAGAACCCCTGCTCTATTCATTTCAACACTGGGGAAGGGGGTGCGGGGAGAGACCTGCCATGGCTGCAGGACATACTTAAAATAAAAAATTGTACCTTTTGGTATAAAAGGAACATATGCTAAATGTAAGCAGTACAACAGAGATGTAAGTTCTGGTTGTGAGAATGAAGCATGATGCAAAATGCTCTTCAGAAGGCAGTGATTTTGAAGATGATGTGGACATATCTGAACAATCTGGATTAACTGGTTAGTAAACTTATTTTTCCATCATTCTTATGGACTACCCAATATGTCTTACTGTGTTAGCAAATGATAACTTAGTTTATTGTCACAAATTAGTGTTTTGGGTAGATTACTTACTTACCAATTTCAAAGTTTTTGTGTTTAAAATATAATTGGTATATTAATTTGTTGTGGGGATACTTATCAATTACATTTTTACTGTTGCTGCTGGACTTCTGAAATAACTTTTTTTTATTGTGCAGTATAATCAAACCTCGTAGGTGAAGATTTCCTGTTTAAAAGTAAAGTTTGATTAGGCATTTGTGAATTTTAACATTTAAAGGGGTTTTTCTTTTCACACTGTCTGGTATGTTGCTAGAAATAAGGGTTTTTAAATAGATTTGGATAATTCTCATGATTTATGCTCCTATAAAACTAGGTTCGGAATAAATTATTTAAACAGTGGTACAAACAGCTCTAGTAGGATGCGTATTTCATTTGTAATCTATCTTTTTACTTATTTATTTTTAAGCAACATTGAGTAATACTCAGTGAGTGACTTTTACCATTTTGTTTCAGGGTCCATCTTAGACAATAAGGGTTTATGAACATCCATCTGCAGTGTCTACAACTTCAGAGTCATCTGCTGGTACCACTAGATTGCTGCAACTAAATGTATGTCAGACGGTAAATTAACTGAATCAAAAAGACTTCATCCAGTAAAACCATGGATGCATTAGTAATCAGGACCAGCCAGTTCCAGCCAGACTCACTGGGTGACAAGATTTCTTGGTTCATTTATGCAACAAATTCTCCCTTTCATCCTGTTCAGAGCAAACATTTCATTGATGGGGCTCAATCATTATGATGAGGCTACACTCCACTGGCAGAGAAGACAATGCTGGAATGTTACTGGACACAGAGTGAGAGAATGAAATTGAACAGTGTGCACACAAAAAATTGATGGGAAATTCATTAATCTGAGTCTTGATGAGTGGAGCAACGTACACAATGATCCAATAATATGTGCTTGTGTGACAACAGATGATGGGGTTGCCTATCTTACAGGAACAATTGATACATCAGGAAATATCCACGCAGCAGAATACTTACCAGTAGCAGTAAAAATTATAACAATTTGAACGAAAATTCAAGTGTGTAGCATCATAGACAATGCTACACATGTAGCAAAGATGAGAAGCTATCTAGAAGAAAATAACAAAGGATCCTGAAACTTATAACTTAGGGATGCAGTGCTCATTTGTTCTTTTAGCTGAAGAGCCCCTCCAGGAATAAACGAAAACGTTGAAATTTCAAAATAATTCCCTAACAACCACTTTGCCTCAGCTTTGCTGAAGAGAGGAGGAAGATCCAAACCAATTATCACCCAATATGTCCAAGGGGATTAGTAGTTGACTCTTGAGGTATTTATTAAGAACTGACCTGTTCTGATGACTATTTGTGAAACAAATGGTTGGCAAAATAGATGGAACTATCACAGCTGAAGTAGTCAACATCAGACTGAAGAGAAATGTAGAATGCATGCTGCATATACTGAAACCTTTTTCTGTAGCCTGGGATAAACTGCAGAACGATTGCTGTTTTGCTGATGGTGTTGAAATTTAGAAAGGAACATCAAGAGACATTGAAGAAAGGAAATAATGAACAACAAAGTTACATTGTAGGCAGTAAGAAAGCGGATGGATCAATCATTTACTCCATCTCCTTTTCTTGTCGATATTGTCAACCCAAAGAACCAGGGTAGATGCCTTAACTGCAGAAGATGCTGCTATAGCATTGGCATCTAATAATCACTCATCAGTTATGCCAACCACAATAAATTTCAGGGCTGGAGGTAAACCATTCAAGCTGTACATGTTAGCTAATGATTTAAACAAAGTCACACAACTGAACTGGTGGCAGCCACTAGTTAAGCACCTGGAACCAGAGTCTTTTGAAGTGCTAAACCTGCTTTTGACAGCAGTCGCCTCTTCTGCAGGCACAGTGAATATTTGCTTCATTTGAACTAATTCAAAGTTGAGAAATCAATTGGGAGTTGAAAAAGCAGAAAAGCTTGTCGCTCTTCCAGTCTGTGAATAAAAACGAGGAGGAGAGGGGATGAAATCAAACTTTTAAAACTAGAAGGATGGCTTAAGAAATGTAGGAGAGACTCTTGTTCAAGAGGCTTAGGCGAAAAGGAACTTCAGCCTGGGCAAATTTTCAAATGTGCCGAAGTGAAAGTAACTGGAGCTGATCTGAAATCGATGTAATTCACTGCTCAACACAGTTAATCCCTCTGTTTGCTAAATCATTTAGTTGTAAATGTGAAATACGTTTTGATAAGCAGTTTTGTTGAATAAAAATGCTGTTTTATGTGTTTAAATTGCAGTTTTCATCCTAATGCAGCATGACTCAAATTGTGTGCAAAAAGTTAATTATCCAGTAAATAAGCAATATCATTCACTGTTTTCTAGCATACTGACAATGTACAATTAATCTGAAAATACTGACTAAAATTGCTTAAATAAATGTGTGCATATTAGAGCTGTTGAGTAATCGCAATTTACTCAGAAAAATTAATCGCTATTAATTGCACTTTTAATCGCACTGTTAAACAATAAAATACCAATTGAAATAAATATTTTGGATGTTTTTGAACATTTTCATACAGTATTCTGTGTTGTAATCAAAATCAGTGTATATTTTTTATTACAAATATTTGCACTGTAAAAATGAGATTTTTCAATTCACCTCCTACAAGTACGGTGGTGCAGTCTTTGTTGTAAAAGTGCAACTTACAAATGTAGATTGTTTTTGAATGATTATGTACAAAAAAAGTAAAACTTCAGTGCCTACAAGTCCTACTTCTTGTTCAGCCAACTGCTAAGACAAACAAGTTTGTTTACATTTAGGGGAGATAATGCTGCCCTCTTCTTATTTAGTGTAACCAGAAAGCGAGAACAGGCATTTGCACGGCACTTTTGTAGCCGGCATTGCAAGGTATTTACGTGCCAGATATGCTAAACAATTGTATGCCCCTTCATGCTTTGGCTACCATTCCAGAGGACATGCTTCCATCTGATGACGCTTGGTTTAAAAAATATATATTAATTAAATTTGTGACAGTTCTCTCCCAAGGAGTTCAATGTCCCCTGCTATGTTTTACCAGCATTCTGCCATATATTTCATGTTATAGCAGTCTCGGATGATGACCCAGCACGTGTTGTTCATTTTAAGAACACTTTCACGACAGATTTCACAAAACAAGATACCAATGTGAGACTTCTAAAATAGCTACAGCTCTTGACCCAAGGTTTAAGAATCTGAAGTGCCTTCCAAAATCTGAGAGGGGCAAGGTATGGAGCATGCTTTCAGAAGTCTTAAAAGAGCAACATTCTGATGCAGAAATTACAGAACCTGAACCACCAAAAAAAAAGAAAATCAACTGCTGGTGGCATCTGACTCAGATAATGAAAATGAACATGTCGGTCCGCACTGCTTTGGATTGTTATTGAGCAGGACCCGTCATCAGCATGGACACATCCTCTGGAATGGTGGGTGAAGCATGAAGAGACATACAAATCTTTAGCGCATCTGGCACGTAAATATTTTTGCGACACCGGCTACAACAGTGCCATGAGAACACCTGTTCTCACTTTCAGATGACTTAATAAGTGAGCAGCATTATCTCCTGCAAATGTTAACAAACTTGTTTGTCTGAGCGATTGGCTGAACAAGAAGTAGGACTGAGTGAATTTGCAGGCTTTAAAAGTTACGTTTTATGTTTGAATGCAGTGTTTTTTGTACATAGTTCTACGTTTGTAAGTTCAGTTTTCATGATTGCAGTACGATACTTGTATTAGATGAATTGAAATACTATTTTGTTGTTTTTACAGTGCAAATACTTGTAATCAAAAATAAATATAAGCACTGTACACTTTATATTCTGTTGTAATTGAAATCAATATATTAAAAAATGTAGAAAACATCCAAAAATATTTAAATAAATGGTATTCTATTATTGTTTAACAGTGCGATTAATCATGATTAGTTTGTTTAATCGCTTGACAGCCCTAGTATATATTAAGTGTACCCGCTTGGGTAGCAAAAAGATGTACCAAATCTAGTGTAAAGACTCTATTTAGTTGTAAATAGCATGTTTTAATGGTTATGTAAACAAGAGAATGCACCTTTCTTTAGAAAATAACTGAAGTACAAATGGAAAAGTTGATTAAAATGATTTAAATTGAGGTTTTCCTCTTGATGACTTAAATTGCCATGATTTAAATCAGTCCGCCTCCCTGTTTGCTAAATTATTAGATGTGTTTAGAAATGGGGTCTGTGAAAGTAGACTCTCCAGTGCTAACCAGATGTAACAAAATTGTTTTCCCCAGAGGAGTTAAAGAAATAGTCTGTCTTCTGGTACTTTAGTATTCTAACATGTAAAGTGTCAGAGACAGAACTGCAGAGGCTGGCTAGTATAGGTAGTTACTGCAGAGACCGTAAGTACAAATACTCGAGCTTCCTTTTGAAATGAGACTGGAAAATTCAGGTTGCTAGTAATGATCTTGAATGTACTTTATCAGCTTGTCAGGTGAGCATGGAAGCATAGCAAACCTGGCCCTTCAAACAAAGAAGGCTTTAGTGTATAGGAAGCTCCAGTATCCTAGCTACAAAGCTTTCATTGCGGTTTTGGGTCTGGTCTAGACAGCTGTCCTTTTGAAAGTAACATAGGATAATGCTGTGCCACCCAATAATGAAAACTCTCCAGGTTTTAGTTAAGTGAGCACGTACCCTTTTTCTCCATTCCTGTCTAAAAATTGGGGGTGGGGTGGAGGCAGGAACATAAACCGCATCTAGAATAGGAAAATGAGGTGCTTCATAAATGTTGTCTAACACGTGAAATTTTTAACCACTTTGTGCCTAGTGTAGACCTAGAGGGGGTCAAAAAATTTGTTAGACAGTGATGGTCAGTCCTAGGGCTATAAAGTAAAACTGTAGTCAGCTAACTGGTGGATAGGGAAAAGTAGTTAGGAGGGAAGTCAGGAAACCACCTCATCTGAAGGCTACTTGTACTGCTCTATGGAAAGAAAGGTAGTATACCACAGGGTCTCAACAAACTGTTGGGACAAGCTTTTGCGGGAAGACATTGTCCCAACTCTGCCTTTTCATCCTAGGACTGGACAGCTACCAGAACCAAGAAGTGGCTCTTCGTGTGGTGGCAGCAGCTATTCTGTATTCTTTTCTCCTTCTCGCTCCCTCCCCAATAGTTCCTCTAACGCTTCTTGTATGTTCAGGATTGCTAGAGGAAAACATTAAGGGGGTTCATGGATTCCACAACATGAGACCTGTCTCTTGTGCCCTCTGTGGTGGGGATGCTCCCATCTCCTTCCTTGCTTTGTTAATCCCACAGTCCTCCATCAGTAATACAAAGGAGAGGCAGCATGAGGGCTGGTTACTTACAGTACCAGGACACTGTATCCTGGATAAGTGCTGCTGTGTTCTTTTGTCAGAGCATTGCATTGACTCTGGGCTGAGGCAAAAGTTGAAAGCAAGAATTAGCTGAAAAACAGCTTTTAAATTTGAAAGCTTCTCTTGTCAATGAAAATATTACAAACTGTGGTAGAATGTCTGATGTTAAAGCCTAAGAAGGCAAAGAAATGGCAACAGTATTTTCCCTTGGTGTTTAATGTTTGTAGTACTTGTATCCAAAACACTGCATGCTGTTCATCGATCATGGCAGTACCCAAGACCTCACTGAGCAAATTCTGATATTAGGCAAAAGTGGCAATGTAAAAATGAGCTTTTGTTTTCTTTCATATTTTCCCAGATTCAAATAAAATTTGTTTTATTGAGATTTTCTAGCTTCTAACACCAGAAACGTGAATTTGAGCAGATTTTTGTGCATCTTAGATCGTCCCCAGTAATCTGCAATTTGATCTTGATGGGTTCTTTTTTCATGACACAGAAGATCCCAGCTCATCATGCCATAGCCGTATGGACTCTGTAGCGCTGATCACTGTAAACTGGCTGTTTTTTTTTTCAGAGATGGGACTCAAATCTACTGACTGTGTTGTTTTTAGATGATTCTTTCCTTACCATAAACTCTCAAACTAGTGAATCTAGTTCTGGTCCCATAGTTCCTAAATGGCTATTAGCATATAGCAAGATTTCCAAACTTACACTCTTTGACGCCTCTCCTCACTCATTTCAAAAGACATGTACTATTGGTTGTTCTTTATGCAGCTTGACAACTGGAAACAAAGCGCTATTGTCACAAGACTAGCCAATTCGGTGGTCCACAGGCCACAGTTTCGCCACTAATGTAGAATATCCTACCTTGCTTAACGGTAATACAGAACACAGGAGATTCACGTGGTTGTTGCATTTTTCCTTTAGTTTCATCCACTATCTCTCGTAAGTCATTTCTTTAGATCATGCCATTCGTGTTATCTTGTACATTGAGTATCTGTGATGGAGAGTTGATAAAAGCTCTAAAGATGATTGATTTCTTGAGCATAAGAATTTCCAAAATGCAGTGACTCTATAACAATGATAGGTGTGTAGTAATAGAGGCATCTGAACAAATGATATGGTAAAATGACACTAGTGTTGGACAGTCTCATGACCAGACTGCTGGGGGTCCATGTACATACCAGATTGTGGTTGCCAGTCTAATCAGCATGACATGCCAAAGTACAGCCCCAGTATCTGTGTAACCAATGCTGAGACTGTAGGAAGCGTTGGTCAACTTGGCTAAGACTATCGCAGCAGAAGGACACAGTCACACAGGAAAAATGCAGACTGCACAACAGTAGTTTTTTCCTGTAGCTTTTGATGGGGGTGCTTAAAAGAAGGTGGTGTAATTGCTGAGCAATTTAAATGCTTTTCAAATTAGGTGCAATGCACTCTTGACTATTTTACCAGCCTATCAGAATGTGAATAGTCTGAAGCCGCGTAATGATTTGGGACGAAACATGTCAGATGGGCCTTTATCTTTCAACTAAAAACGTACAGCTGCAGTCATTTGGATAAGGCATATTAAAGATGAGTTGCAAAGAAGAAAAGAATCTTGGACTCTAATCCTTTTTGGCTTCTTTATTTGAAGTTCAGTTTTCTTTACAGATCGTAAAGTATTTTTTGCTTGTTTCCATTAGAAATCTAAGTGTTGTGTATTCTGGAAGGCTCTCTGACTACAGCACTAGTGAAATGGTGATGTCACAAGAGCTAAAAGCTGAGCAGTTAAAGGAAAGGGATTTTTTTAATCACTGGTCTTAAAATTATTTTTAAAAATCTGTTTAATGATTGACTCTGGTTAAAGGAAATCTGTTAAAGTTTCGGCATTTTAGTCCCTTCAGTAAGTCATTAGTGTTCAAACTTCCCTCAAAAATGCCTGACTTTTTTTTTAAAGTTCAAAAAACAAAAATAAACAACCTTTCAGGCCTTTATCGCTCATGAAATAGCAATGGCCACAAGTCCAATTTTAAAATACTTATTGGTCACCTTTAAAGGTTTTGGGGTACCAAAATGACACCTCGTGGGGG